CCGCCCCCCCCGCTTTTCCTCCCAGTGCCCCGGATTCTGTTCCCAACCATCCTGTGGTGTTGAGTCCTCGTTTTGAAGAGACGTCGCCCCGCGTTCCTCCTTGCGTTTCACCCGCCCAGTACAGCGCTTCGTGGCCTCACAGGGAGGCCCACCGAAGGTCCCGTTGCTACCGTCCGCATGCGTCCCGCACACCTAGTGCGGCGTTTCGTGGCCCCGTAGGGGGCCCCGCCGAAGGTTCGTCCGCATGCGTCCCGCGCGCCCAGTACAGCGTTTCGTGGCCCCATAGGGAGCTCCACCGAAGGCCTCAGTGCGACCGTCCGCATGCGTCCCGCATAGCGTTTCGTGGCCCACCTCTTCCTCCTCCTCCCTGTGTTCCACCCACTCAGTGCAGCGTTTCGTGGCCCCATAAGGAGCTCCACCGAAGGTCCCAGTGCTACTGTCCGCATGCGCCCCGCACACCCAGTGCGGCGGGCGTTTCGTGGCCCCGTAGGGGGCCCCGCCGAAGGTCCCAGTGCTACCGTCCGCATGCGTCCCGCGCGCCCAGTGCAGCATTTCGGCCCCCCATAGGGAGCTTCACCGAAGGTCCCAGTGCTACCGTCCGCATGCGTCCCGCTCACCCAGTGCAGCGTTTCGTGGCCCTCCCCCCCCCTCCTCCCTGCGTTTCACCCACCCAGTAATGGCCCCATAGGGAGCCCCACCGAAGGTGCCAGTGCTACCGTCCGCATGCGCCCCGCAAGCCCAGTACAGCGTCTCGTGGCCCCATAGGGGGCCGCGCCGAAGGTCTCAGCGTTACCATCCGCATGCGTCCCGGGAAATGTAATTTGGCATTTTCACCCGCGCAATGCAGCGTTTCGTGGCCCCACAGGGGGCTCCACTGAAGCCCCCCGTGGGACCGTCCGCGTGCGTCCGGAAACCCAATGTGGCATTTCCACTCACTCAGTAGAGCTCTTCGTGGCCCCATAGGGAGCTCCACCGAAGCCCTCAGTGGAGCCGTCCGCATGCGTCCCAGCATCCCAATTCGGCACACCACCGACACAGTGCAGCGTTCCCCCCCGCCCAGTGCAGCGCTTCGTGGCCCCATAGGGAGCTTCACCGAAGCAGATATTCACACTTACGGTACCCACAACTGCATATGGTTGAGACCTTCGCCAGGATATTTTTTCCAGCATCGATCGCTTTTCCCTGATTTCCATTTGCCGGTATCTTCCTGCAGTGCAAAGGCCATGGTATTTGTGAGGTCCAAAACCCGAATGGCAGGGCGCCAGAAGAGCGCGTGGAGGCCTGTCGAAGAACTCTGGAGGGACCTCGAGACAGCTTCCCAACGACCTGGGGAACTTCCGGGCACGCGTATTGGGACACGTTTTAAAAACCTTTCGGGACACGCTGCGAGGTTAGACCAGTTTCTCCGAGGTGTGTAGACGCTAGAACGAGCTCCGGGGGTACCCTGCGGCTCCCGTCTTAGTCTGAAGCCTTCTTAGCTCTCAGACAGCTGTCCGGGGAGCTTCGCGGCCTGCTCAGGTTGGAGCAGTTTTACGACAGTTTCGCGACCTGCTCAGGGCCAGCCTGAGAGGGAAGCTGGCAAGGTTTGGAAAGCTTCGGAAATTTGCGCGGGAAACGCTTTCCAGGGCGCTGGAAAGCATGCCTTGGGGGCCTGCAGCCTTCAGAAAGGCAGCTGCGAAGGAACTGCGAAGGACGTCGGAAAGGCTTCGGGCACGCGTACTGGTAACGAGTATGAAAGCGCTTTTTGGGGCCCGCTGCACCCGCAAGGAGGCGCCAGGATTCCTGCCCGGGAGCCTTGGAGAGGAGCTGGCGTGGCCCTGCCCGTATCTAACAACCCCCTCAGCTCTCAAAGAGATCCCAGAAACAAGCGCGTGCGGGTGACGCTTGACAGGGCGCGCGAAGGTATGCTTGGTGAGCTAGGAAGCATGAGAAAAAGCTTGTGGAAGACGCTCGCCAGGGGGCTGGATAGCATGCCTGGGGAGGTTGCAAGCTTCGAAAAGCAAGCGTCGAAGGATCTTCGAGGGAGCTGCGAAGGACCTGCGGAAAGGCTTCAGGCGCGCGTATGGGGAGAGAGTAGGAAAACGTTCGCCGGAACACGCTGCAGCTTCAAGCAAGGCGTTGCGTGAATGCCTGCCCGGGGGCCTTGGACAGGAGCTGGCGTAGCCCTGCCCGCCGGCTTCTTTTCTCGAGCCCTCTCAGCTCTCAGAGAGCTGTCTGGGAGTGGGTATCACTTGTTTTGGTGGTTGTCGCGCCTTTTTGCTTGCTTGGCGCTTAAGCCCGTTGTTTAATGGCCGTTTTACTTTTGTTCACCTTCTGACGTACCATTGGCCTTGACCGCGGCATTCTCGGCCCCGCTGAATCTCGGCCCCTTAATTTTCGTGATGATAGCTCTGTTGGTCGTCCTTCGTACTCCCTCTTGGCCTGCCCGTGGCCCTGGCCCCAGCCTCTATGCTTTGCCCGGCCCCTGTGTTTTTTTCATTTCGGCAGTCGTGGCCGTGGTTCTCGTCCAGTCTTCCTTAGCCTGTCCCTGGCCCTGGCCCCAGCCCTTCGTTTCCCATGGCCACTCACCCTTGGCTTTCATGGTGGTGATTCGGAGGTCTTCGTTGCTTCCTTTACTCCCTGGTGTGCGCCCGCCCTGACATCAGCCTTTCGCGGTCCTTGAGTGTTAAATTCTTTTGCACAAGTGCGTTTTAGAGTTCGGACAGTTTGATTTTTGTTCGTGGTTAGGTCGGTAGTGGTCAGTCCTCGGCCTCCTTGGTTTCCCCGTCAAGGGCCCTTCCCCTCTGGGCCGCGGAGCGCTTTCTTTTTGCTCGTGGTTCATTCGTTCGCGTTTCGTCCTTGTCCTCCGTAGGTTTTGCCTTCTTGCCCCTTACCCCTCTCTCTTGGCCGTAGAACTTTACGTTTTGTTGTCGCTTGTTCGATCGTTCGTCGTTTTGTTTTGGTCTGCGTAGTTTTGGCCGCCCCTTCCCTGATCTGTCCAACCCGCCCGCGCTGCGGAAAGTTGTATTTTCGTTAGTGTTTCGTCCGCTCGTGGTTCGTCTCTGCAGTGCAACATTCTGCTGCACACGTAGCCCCGTGTTTGCCCGACCGGTCCGCGCGATCGCCAGGTCCGCGACAAAAACGTTTCGCTCGTGGTCTGTCTCTGGCCTCACTGGTTTCCTTTTCCCAGCCTCCCCCCCAGGGGCCATGGAGGCTTTTGCTTTTCTGTGGTTCATTTGTTCGTGGTCCTTCCCTGGCCTCCTTCCCCCGGCCCGCCCTCCCCTGGGCGCTCCCTGGTTTGTTCTTCCGTTGTTCACCCTTAGCGTCTCTGGCCCTGGCCTCCCCCCCCCGTTGGCCTCCCCCCCCGTGCCGCGGAAGCTTTTGTTTTCGTTCGTGGTCCGTTCGTTCGACGCTCGTTCCCAGCTCCCGGGCGTCTGCCCCCCTGGCCTCCCTCCCTTTCCCCTGGGCCGCGGGACCCTTTGTTTTCGTTAGTCGTTCGTGGCTCGTCCCTGGCCTTCCTGGCCCCCACCCCTTGGGCGCTCGTGGTCATTTCGACGCCCCGCCGGCGCCGAACGTTACGTCACTGGGGGGCGGGCCCAGTGACGGCCGTGTCGCTGAACGTTTTCGAACACACATGAAGTTGCTTTCGCGTGTTTTGGAACTGTGTGGTGCCGTGCTCGCCCTTCGATGATAATCTTGCTCGCGAGGCTCGTGTCTGCGGTCGCCCGGCCGAGAAGCTGGGCAGCTCCGAGAAGGGGCCCGTGAACGGTGCAGCAGCAGCGTTGAGAGAGCCCAGGAACACAGTCGCTGCGTGGCAGCGCTCAGAGGGGAGGCCCCGTCGACTGTGATGGCGCGTCCGTTGGGCTCCCCTGTCGTGGGGCCGCGGCGCGTTCCTGGTTGGCCTTGCGCACAGCGCCGGGCCCGCTGGGCCCCCCCCGTGGCTGCCGCGGAGGCTGTCGCGCCGGGCTCAGGAGACCAGGATCGGCGCGAGCACAATAAGGCATAGGTTGTGTCAGGAAATATGGAAAATGGAGGGGAGGAATGACCTACGGGAGATCTGGACAACCATGGGAAGTGTTAAAATCTGTGTAGGTTTATGTGTGTCTCTCTGGGTCCCTCTACGGGGGTCGAGGTCCTTGTTGAACCTGATTCAGGCAACGCTCCACTGGATTCCTCGGGGCCGCAGCAAGCGGCGGCAGTTACCCTCAACCTCGTCCTTTCGTCCTTCCTCCGTCGTCTTCTCCTTGTGAGACGCATTCTCCCTTTATTGCCTTTTCTCTTGCCCCTTTTTTCCACTGCTTTCTTCTTCTTCTCCTTGTCCTGCCCTTTCTCCCCTCTCCCTTCGTGCGCCTTATCCTTCTCCTCCTCCTCCTCCTCTTCTTTGTTATTGCCGTCTTATGTATTTTCCCTCTCAGCTCAGGGCCGCGCATTCGTGCAGCGTTGTGCCATGTGTGGTTGCCCGAGGTAAGGAGTGGGTGGCCCAGCGCAGGTGGTGCCAGCTGGTGCCAAGGGTGGCCCTGTGCCATGGCTGGTCCGGTGCCGTATGGTGCCGCCGCGGTTCCATGGTGTCTTGGCATCGCTCGGACGTGTGCATTTTTTTCACGGTGGGGACCATCGAGGAGCATCCTTGATCATCTGGCGAAAAAACCACGCACGAAACCGAAAAAAGCACAGGGAATGGGCGTCCGAGCGATGGCGAGGTATGACGCGTGCTGAATTTCAGGGTACTGTTTGGCGGACTGTGCGTTACCATGCACAAAGTTGTGCTGTGTGCTGCCTGGTGGGGCGCTCTATGGCCTATTGGCTACCCCTGTGGCCTGCACCGTTAGCTGAGATTTGACGCGTGTCGGTGTGTATGAGGTTTTGAATTTCAATTTCGGCTGCACGTGTAGCCGTATGGGTATGTTTAGTCGTTGCCTCTTGGCGTGCCGCTGCCGTATTCGACGGCTCCAGTTTTATTAGCAACATTGTCATGGTTCTCGCATAATTGATATTGGGTAGCTTCGATTTTGGCCGTGCAGGTCGTAGCACTTTCGTTCTTCTCTGGTGCTGTTGCTGGAGACGGTCGACTCCTTCTACGTTTACATCACTTGTCCGCTTGCCACGACGAGTCCGCCGTCCGCAAGGCCGACCTGTTTCTTTGGGGATGATTGGGCGGAGTGGCGCGAATTAAGTATGGTGCCTCGCAGAAGGAAGCCAGCGATGGTGAATGAAACTCGAGGGGATATGGTAGCGGCATCCCCGGGTCGTTGTGTGCAGCTATCGACTCAAGGCAAAATGGGGAGAGGGTCTGCAGCGGAGCAAAGGGAGTTGTAAGATGTTCAGTGGGTGAGATAACGGCTGGTCAGACTCTGGGAACGAGGTCCCAGTAACAGCATCGGTTACGTCAACAGCGACGATGAGTATGTTGATGCAGACGTTTCCCGTGGTAAAAATGACAGCATGGCAGTGACAACGGCAAAGCTGGTGGTTATGAGGGATAGGGTGACTGTTGTAATAGGGACCTCATTGGGAGAAACTGCGCTGATGCTCATATCGACGACGATGGTTGTGATGATGAGGGCAACGGCGACGCGCATGGGAAGGACAGGCGACGACGGCGACGACGGCGTTCACGACGGCACCGATCACACTCCTGGCTACGATGCTGAGGGCGATGCTGCTGCCAATGACGGGTGCGGAGATCTCGTGGTCGCGCTGCGCTGTAGCGGGTGGCTGCGCTCGTTGGCACCACGGAGGAGGGCCGGCGGCCGCGCGGCGTGGCCCAGCGCGGTGGCTGCCGCCCTCCCCCCCCGGCACGAGCAGGTTCGCCCGCACCGCTCTCGCCGAGAGTCGCGCGCCGGCGTTGGCCACGCGCTGCGTTTTCACGGCGGCCGCCGAGATGTCCCTGCCGAGCCTCTGCCTGCAGAGTGCCAGGCGCTGCCGCACTGAGGCCGCGGCCTTGCTACGTGCCCGGGCAGGTCGCGCGCGTGGGGCCTCTCCTCCTCTGCCTCCTCCCCCTCTCCTTCTCCTCCTCCTCCTCCTCCTCCTCTTTGCGGCCGTCTTCTCTTGATTTGCCTTCTCTAGTACTGGGGCCCGTTCTGCGTTCGCTTGTACCACTTACGAGTGACATCGTTTTTTCCCGATGCTGGTGCTAAAGGTTCCCTCAGTTTCTGAGGGTGCATCCCTGAGATTGTCATCGACTTTGGCTTGTCAATCTTAGGGGTTTTGATATGTTCGAGGCTGATTGCAGGAGGAAGGAGATACGGGAAGATGAGGAGGTAGGGAGGGAGGTAGGAATAATGATATGTTGCAGTGGATGTTTTTTCGCCAGCATCGCCAGTGTGTTAGCCCACTGCCCTCATGCATCGTCGTCAGAATCGTCTTGCATCGTCGCAAACTCATGAGCGCATCACCGGCATCGCCACCTTCACAATCATCGCAGTTATCCTCAGTTGGCTCTTTCCCCCCTCCAACCTCCTTATCATCCGAAGGGTGATCGTATAAGTATGACGATTATGTTGAGATGGTGATGCTGACGTTGATGCTGACGGCGGTGGTAGGGTAGTGGCGACGATGGCTACCGGTTTCGCGGCGATGGCGACATGGCGACGACAGTGATATTGTAACGGCAGGAGCAGGCGCGTAAGAAGCGATACGCAGTTCCATCTAGATACGCACAGGCGTATATGCAGTGCAGAGGTACAGATGGTGATGAAATGTCTAGGTACATCGAGGCGCATGGGTTCCTGCACATGCAGGCAGACAGGGTAGCCTTTTACTGATGTTGTGAGTGGTCTCTGTGCTTTTTTCTTGTCTTTTGGTCAGTCGCCACCAGGCGGCTGCCAGCGTACTCGATGCAAGCCTGCTCGGAGGGCTTGGAGTTGGGGCACGTCCATGGCAAGGGTCGCCAAATTCAGTTTCATCATGATATGCTCCTCTTGTCCGGTTGCCGCTGTTTTGTTTTGTTGTCGTGGTTGCTGTTGTTGCTGCTCTTGTTGTGACTGTTGTTGTTGTTGTTGTTGTTGTTGTTGTTGTTGCTGCTGCTGCTGCTGCTGTTGTTGTTGTTGTTGTTGTTGTTGTTGTTGTTGTTGTTGTTGTTGTTGTTGTTGTTGTTGTTCTCCTCCCGAAGACGCGATCATGCCAAGGCAAGGGTTGGAGTGTGGAGCCGCTGTTGATGAGGAGAACCAAGGCAGAGTGCGTCCGCATGCTCGTCTGCGGAGGTGCGTTCAAGATCGTATTCTTCGCACAGGAGCAAGCGTGTGATCTGGCATGCAAGGTGTTCGTACTGCATGCGTCGGCCCGTCACCTTTGGACAGAGGACAACGCTCGCACTTCTGGGGTTGCACCAATTGTCGGTGGCCCTCTCCGTGTCAGCCACCTCGCTCCACTAGTCGTCGTTGTTGTTTCGCTATCCGTTTCTTCCTACTGCCTTTTCCTTCATCTTCACCGTGAAAGCCACATCGTTCTATTCTTCGTCGTTGTTTTGCTGTCCGTTTCATTATAATTCGCTCCTCTTCATCTCCATCGTCCGTTTTTCTGTGCTCTTCCTCTATTCCGCCTGCCGCTGTTGATCTCCTTTGCAACACATGGCTTCCTCAACATGTTTACTCGATTCCTCCGCTGTGGAGGAGGACCACCGTGAGGAGAAAGGGCAGGATGCGTAGGATTTTGATGATGATGAGGAGGAGGAAGAGCAGGAGGAATGGTGATTCTGAGTGAAGGGGAGGGAGTCGGAGAGTGGAGGATGATGATGAGGAGGAGGAGGAGGAAGAGGAGGAGGAGGAGGAGGAGGAGGAGGAGGAGGAGGAGGAGGAGGGAGGGAGGGAGGGAGGGAGGGAGGGAGGAGGAGGAGGAGGAGGAGGAGGAGTAGGAGGAGGGATGATGGAGGAATGTTCAGAGAGGAAAGAGACGGGAGGAGGATTAAGAGGAGGAAGAGTATGAACAATGAGAAGGGGAAATAGGGGGAGCTGGATGAGAGGGGGGGTCGAGAATGAGAAGGGAATCTGATGAGGAGCAGACATTGAGGAGGGAGGAGCATCAGAGTCGTCCACGCTTTCCGCTCATCCTGGTTGTAGAGACGCAGCCAGCCAGCCAGAATCAGTTCGGGAGGATCCGTGCATTCAGACGATGAGTTCGAGAGGGAGAAGACAGTCAAGTCCGCCGAGCAGAGCACTTGGGAGCGCTTGCGCTTGCGACGTCTGACTGCTGACGACGACGACGATGATTGTGGTTGTAATGGGAACGGTGCTGAAATCAACCCAGCAGGGGGGAAGCCGGAAGGGACAGGGAAGGGAGCTGGGGTGAGGGGCAAGCTCTATGTGCTCGCGTGACATCCAATTCCTTCCATCCCTCCCTCGCACTTGCGGGGGGTATTTTTTCTTTTCGCTGGTCCAGGTTTCCCAGAGGGCGTTGATCCTGAGGTTTGTCGCAAGATTCGTGTCCCGTAGATTGCAACGCCCTGCTCCTGGCAGCAGCCAAGGGCAAGACGAGTGTATCGGCGGCCTCTGGGGAAGGCCTGCAGTTCTCACGCATTACAGACTGGTATACGACGCGGGCAGTGGACCGCCCAGCTTCCGTCGTACAGCCCCGCTGGCTGCGCGCAATTTGCTTGTGATTTCGTCGTGTCTCAGGGAGGCCGATCCTGGAGGATTTGCGCTGACCGTGGGCATTGCTGGGCAACCTTGCGCTGACAGCAGCGTGGACGCCCCCGAGTGACATGACCTCCTGTTGTGACAGCAAGGAGCGGCCTTTCCCTGGCAACGCTGGCTTCGAGGAGCCGACGCAGACTACCTCGAGGATGATGGCGGTATTGATGATGATGACGACGACGATGATGATGATGACGATGATGATGATGATGATGATGATGGTGATGATGATTCTGATGTTGACGACTTCAAGCTACTGATGGTGATGATTCGGGTATGGGTGAGGATCGTGATAGTGAGAGCATTTTCGTGCCTGATGATGGCGATGATGGACGTAGCGTCGGTGATGCAAGCGCTTGCTTGGTGCCCCACGAAGGAGAACATGTATGACAGGGGAACCCAAGCAGAGGATTGTACAGCCAAAGTGTTATAACAACGGGGCTGTATCACGAGGGTACGCACAACAAAGAAGGGAGACACTGAAGAGCTTGTGATGTTTCTTGCCTTTGCTCTCCGAGTCCTCGCCCCCTCACCCAGTGCCTCTCTTGTCTTCATCCTCATGCATGTTTTTTGTGTGCTTGATCTCTCTCGATCTCTCCGTTTATGTCTCTTTCTCTCTCTCTCTGGCCTTCGCCTCTTCGTTCTGCTCATTCCACTCCGCGCCAGTATCATCAGCAGCACCATCATCACCAGCATGAGTGTACTTATCAGTATCATCATCGCCGCCTTCGTCACCATCACCATCACCGTCGGCATCATCATCGTCATCATCACCATCACCATCACAATCACCACCACCATCATCACCACCACCGTCATGCCCCTCCTAATCATCATCATCATCCTCATCAGCATCCTCATCATCATACTCATCATCAGCATCGTTATCATCATACTCATCACCATCATCACCATCATCTTATCATCAACATCATCATCATCATCGTCAGCATCATCACCATCCTCATCAGCATCACCAGCATCATCATCGCCACAATCCACCACTATCAGCACCACCTCCACCACCATCATCATCATTATCACCATCATCATCATCATCATCATCATCATCATCATCACCGCAACCATCATCATCAGCATCATCATCACCATCACCGATAACATCATCGTACTCATCATCATCATCATCATGACACGCATCATCGTCATTGTCGTCGTCATCATCAGCATCACCATCATCATAATCATCATCACGGCCACGATCATCACCATCATCATCATCACCATCACCATCACCATCATCATCATCATCGTTGTCGTCGTCATCATCCATAATCATCATCATAATCATCACCACCATCATCACCATCGTCATCATCACCATTATCACCACCACTATCATCACCACCATCATCATCACCATCAGCAGCATCATCATTATCATCATCATCACCGTCATCATCGTCATCACCGTCAACATCATCATCACCATCACAACATCATGATCACCATCATCATCGTCACCCCCTGCTCCTCCTCCTCCTCCTCCTGGTCCTCCTCCTCGCCCTTCCTCCTGGCCGTAGCTCCACCTTATTTTCCTCCTGCTCGTCCTCCTCCTTCGCCTCCTCCTCCTGCTCGTCCTCCTCTTCCTCTTCCTTCTCTCTCTATCCCTCGCAATGTTGCCTGTCAAGCTGGAATGCGGCGTCGTTGCGGCGCCCCTCATTCGGCGCGTGTGGGCCGCCATCGATGTACGCGCCATCCTTCCAGTGCCCTCTTCGCGATGGGGTGGGCGAGGCAGCAGGACAGAAGCGAGGACGAGGAGGAGGTGAAACAAACGGGGAGGAGGAAGAGGAGGAGGAGGAGAAGGACGCAACGCTGCCCTGCTGGAGTCACGCGCGTGTTGAGCCCGCCCTGCGAGGTGAGGTGCAGCCTGTCGCGGGGGAGGGACCAACGCTCAGTCTAGCCCGCAGACGGCCAGCGGTCCGCCCTGGCTGCGGCTCGCACTGGACGCAGGGCTCGGGCCTGGGCCCCTGCCAGACGCGGCCTTTTCTCGCTCCCCCCGCTCAGAGCGCCCGCCCGTTTCCAGCCGCTCGCAGGCAACGTGCGCACCGTTGCCAGCAGATCCGCCGCTCGGGCATCCTGACGCGCCCACATGCCGGGAAGCTCCTCCGGCGTGCACCGTTGGATCTGCGGCATGGTACAACGACGGGAAGCGAATTCGAGGAACTGGAAGGAGAAGGAGGTTCCGCATTGCTAGTTCAAAGAACTCAAGCGCTACAGGGTGGCTGATCGCGCGGGGTCGTTCGTCAGCGGATGACGGGAAGCGTCTTCGAGGAACTCGAAGCGAGAGCTGGGCGTTCTGGCTGAAACTGTAACCTATCTTACAAACATCTCTTACTACATGGGGTGGCGCGGCGCACTTGATAATTCATTGGCTGATGACGGGCGCCGCGCTTAGGCTCGAAGAGTCGCGCGATGGACGTATGTTTGCCCAGAGAGATTTGTCGGCGTCGCTTGACGCGCCGCATCTCGCGCAGCACTCTCGGGGGGCGCGGACTCAGCGCAGGGCGCGTGCTCTTGCGGCAAATGTGCCTACCCCCTGCGGCAGCGGAGTGTGATGAGATGAGAGGAGGGACATGGGGATGGAGGAGGAGGAGGAGGAGGAGGAGGGGGAAGAGGAGGAGGAACAGGAGCAGCAGGAGGGGGAGGAGGAGGAGGAGGAGGAGGAGGAGGAGGAGGAACAGGAGCAGCAGGAGGAGGATGAGCAAGGGGTGGTGGGTCCCCGTCCACCCCAGGTATGGCGGCATGGATGGCCCGCACGGCGCCATCCTGCCAGGCGGCCAGGGTGGGCGGCCAGCGACGGGGACCTCCCCACGGCTGACGTTCTGCCCATGGCAGGGAGCCTGCCCTCGCCCTCGCAGTCCTCCTCCTCCTCCTTTCTCTCCAGCCCCAGCTCCTGCTTCTCTCCAGCTCCCGCTCTCTCCGGCTCCTGCCCGCCGACGTGAGTCCGCCAGGGTATATCACATCTTCGAGGCCATGGCCTTTACGCCATGCCCTGATGGGTATTGGCGGGCTCCCCAGAGGAGCGCGTACGACTCCGGCGTTCGCCTCGCTTTGACCTCCTCACCCCATCCGCACCCTCCTTGCCCAACTCCCCCCTCAGCTCTCACCCACTTCCTCGTCGTCTTCTCGAAGAAGAACACCGGCATACGCATACGTAAACTTTGGAAGTTTCGCGGACCTTTGGAAGTTTCTGCTTATGATTTTTTATGCTTCTATTCTCCTGCTTCTACGTCTCCAGCTCCTGCCCCTCTTCACCCTTTGCACCCTCCTCGCCCCACTCCTCCCTCAGCTTTGTCTTTCTGGGGGGAGGGGCGAAAGTGGAGCAGGCGGACGCAGAGACTCCTCCTTCTGCCTTCCCTCGGGACCAAGACGAGGCGGAATTCGTAGGTTTTTTTTTTTTTTTTTTGTCTTTTCTGGGAGGCACGGCGGAGATGAGGGCAGCATATCTGGTGATGTTTTCTTTTGCCCTGCGTGGAGAAGGGGGCGGGCACGTCTCGGGTTATGTTCGATATGGCCGCGCAGCTGTGCGGAGGGGGGGCAGGGCACAGTCTCCCCCGCTCCGCTGCGCATGTAATGTTCGGTGTGGAGCACGAGCGGGTAATGCCCGATTCTAAGCACGGGACTTGAAGGGCACAGTCTCCCCAATCTCCCCCGGTCTCCTGGGTGTCCCCAGAGGCCCGAAAACGTCCGAAGGCCCTCATCCTGGATCTCCTCCTCTCCCCCTCGCCCTGCCCCTTCCCAATCCCCCGACAGGAGGGAGAGGAAGAAGATGATGGGGGGGATGTTGATGATGCTGCTGCTGCTGATGATGCTGATGCTGATGACGATGATAATGATGATAATGATGGTGATGGTGATGACGATGCT